AAGAATATGCAAAATATTCAACAATACGGAGAGGTTTTGAAATTTCAAAATCACTATTTCTGAAATGTGTGAATATTTTTGTAAATATATTTATGTTTTATTTTTCCATATACTATATTAACCAATGATATATAAGGTATACATTAAATTCTCGCCAAATGTTTACACAATTAAAGCATTTGACAGAAAAGATAAATTTTAATGAATTATTTTCCACTCATTTAACAATTACTGTTAAAAATCTTTATAAATCATATTATTTGTGTGTTTAGTAAAATTACTTAAATATTCATAATTTTAATACAAATACCGCAACAAATAATGAAAAACAATGGCATAATATGTAAGAATTTAAAATAAAGCTACCTTTGGAGAATTGCATTTATATGTTATTCTAGTTATTCATGTTTTACTGTATTATAAAATAACTTTTGATTTAAACCAAAGAGTCTGTAAAATATTCTCTCTATAGTAACCAATAACTTATTAATAAATATATTTCATATTTTATTTGCTTTATTGTCTTTTAAGTAAAATTTTTGGATATTATTTAAAATAAGATAAACATCTAATTTACTAAATAATAAAATATTTGTTATAATTCATTGTCATAACAAAAATCATTAAAATAAACTTTCTTTTATTGTGTAAACATTTTAAATGAAATAAAATTCAAATTCAACAAAATATTGACAAAATTTCAAATCTAATTTTTTAGCAAAACAAATATTAAAAAGTGTATTATAATTTGTGTTTAATAATAATATCAAAATAACAATTGAATGCATTAATAAAAAATAAATTGTTATATGTCTGAGAAAAAAAGATTATAAAAACAAAAAATATAATGCAATAATAATAAACACAATAATGTTTTCCTAAATAATAACTTTTGCTTTGAAGGCATTTTCATACATAAATATAATAGTAATTACTGGAAGAAAATCATATATTATATAAGAAATGCCCGCAATTTGAGTCACACTGTGTTTAACCATTACATCAAAACTACTATAGGATTAATAGCTAAATAAAGGAGTCATTAGTATCTGAAACACCAAATGAAATATTTCTTTCACAATATTTTTATTAAGTTCTCAGTGTTTACGTCACACATGAAAACATCGAGTTGTCTGACAATCAATTCATACACGTTTTCCCCCTTATTATTGGCTACTATTTTGGGAAAACGGGCGACAAATTCAACAAATGATCGCTTAAATAGAATTTCTTGTTATTTATATATTTATATATGGAATAGAAATAGAAAGTTATATTAAAATTGTTTTTTATTTCAATTTTATTATACGATTCTTGCAATGCTTGCGAATATAAATACGTGTAAATCTTAATTCAATAAGTTATTGTCCATAACATTTTAAAATGTAACTTTTTAATAATTAAATGATGCCTTTAATGTTTAAATATTTATAAATAAAATGCATTAGATTTATTTAAATTAAAAAAGAATTCTTTGAAAATGTGAAGAATTTGTAACTTTAAATAAGTAAAGTGTATCAAAAATGCTTAAATCAACGCAAAACACAAACAATATATTAATGAGATTGTAATCGATGTATCATGTTCAATGATAATTATACAAAATGTACTTATTTTATTGTACAACACTAAAAGTAATGTTAGTTGGAAATAATAATAAAATAATTTTATCAACATATAAAGTATAAATACATTTGCTGTTGTTATTTGCTATTCCACCAAACATATAGAAAATGTACATTTAATGTAAATATCTATTATTAAATCCCATTAAGAACCGGTCAATTGAAACTCAAACATGATTTTTGTGGTTAGTGATACAATTAAAGGTAGGTATATAAAATACGCAATGGTCAATTAATTGGCATTTGATCAATTGACTAAAGTCAAATATAGTACAGAACTTTGTTTAAAATTACCATTTAATTTTTAAGTTTACTCTTATGCTAATTCTACTCTTATTTCTTAATTCAAGCATAATTTAAACAAAATTTCAAAAATATTCAAATAACTTAATAATTTTAAGTAATAATAACATATATTTTACGGAATTTTCCAAAAAAAATATTTATTGCAAAGATAAAAAATAGACAACAAATTAATACAACACTTTTTCGATCAAAGTTTGTCTCAACATAAGATTTATATATCATTTTCTCAATAGTAGGCAAAAGCACTCATATTTCAGTTTTGTGTTGAAGACTAAATCTCTTCGGATATATAAAAATTATCACAAAGTAATAGCTGTAACACATAATGAATGTATCGTTTGGCACATGAAATAAGATTTATTAGATAAATTCTGCCAATTTCTAACACAACTGCTCTATTCATTTAGTATATGAAATAAATAATTACTAAATCTATTGTTTTAACAACATTTCACAACATTTACTTCACACGTGACGATACTTAACGAGGAATAATGCATCGAAATTGTATTTAAAAACTTAATTAAGTATTTAAAGCACTTGTATGTGATCGAGGAAACCGTGAAACATAGGAAATATGGTATTTAAACAAAACTAATCTAAATACTAATAAGTGTATTGTATTGACAAACCTATCAATGGCGACACAACAGAGATGAAGAATACTTGCTGTACAACACATCACATCACAAGATATCCAAAAATGACAGGCAATGGTACCCCAGGGCCAGAATCGTATGAAATCGTATATTATTGTAAATGGCATTACAAGACAGGCCACAGTTATATCACTGAACGCCAGACTATTACAGAATATACATTAAATTAATATAAAAGAGTCAAATCAATTTGTTGATCACATGTAATAAGTTTACAATTAGGTGTCAAAACAAATAACAACATGATAAGGAAAATAAGGTACAAACCTGGCCAGCAATATATTGGTAACGGTTCTCATGCGATGAAATCTGGTCACAACAACGATGACCAGAATATTGCCCACAAGTGTTGTCAACACAATCAACAAACAAAGAAACGCTCCGAACGAACGAAACACAATCTCTTTCACCGACACGTCTTCTAACAAATGTTTTGTATTGAAAAACTTTTGCCACCAGTTTTCCACCACTTCATCCATCGATGCCTTCTCCAGACTCTCTTCAAACTCATACAGTATTGAATTGTTATAGTTTTGTGTAATCACCTGAATATTCATCGCCACGTCTATTAATATGGATTGCATTTTACGTGAAGTCTTTCGTTTTTTGCCAATAACTGTCAATACAAACAAACAGCCAAAAGGTTTGGCTATTATTTACAAATACATTGCTATCACTACCACTCGAAAGAAAAGAAGTGACAAAAACTCTTGAACTTTAAGAATAAGTAATGTTTGATGACTTAAAACAGATTAAATTTACGCCACTTTCGACTTATAGATCGCATCGATGAACACTTGGGATCGACTCTTATTACTTCTCTCCACTGTTTTCTAATTCATTTAAGTATTATTCACTCGAAACTAAATTTTTGTCGAGAAAAAGGATAGCGTTTGATAGTATAGAGAGTGTCTGCGATTCAAACGCAACGCAATCTGTGTGTCAGCGAGTGTTGTGTCACTGAAGATACTGTTGAGCACATTCTCCAACACCAGAATATCATACAGAATATAAGCAATTCTGGTCTCAAACACAGCGCCAGAGCCAACACAACGCTCACAGAATCTAACGCTTTATTATGTGATACACGACTACATGACTGCGCATACAATACCCCTTATAAACAGCATATGAGTGCCGATACACACAGAAACAAATACAGCACAGAATTTGGTGAATATTTAGTAATATTTTAAATAACATTTTGCTTGACTAGAGATTTTAGATTTGGTTCACTTATTATTTGTTATTCAAATATCAATTTTTCTCAACACACATATAGAGAAGAGTCAAATGCAAAACTCATTTATTTTGCCCAAAAATAATTGAATCCATTGGAAGGCGTGTCATATCTTTTGGCAAAATTTATTAATAATTATTGAATACGTAATAAAACAAATGAAACACAAAAAAATGTATTTTAAATGAGGAATAAAAGTAAAAATATTATTAGGAATAAAAGTAAAAATATTATTAGGAATGAGACGATTCTGTGTTTTTTTGCTATTATATCGATTGTTAGTCACTTCCAAATGATTAAATGAATTCTTGAAACAATTTATAAAATGCTTACTTAATCGAGACTATCGGTTGTCTGCAACACAACATGTAATACAAACTTCAACTCAAAATATCGCAACTATTTTGAAAATCTGCAGATTCTTTGTGAAAATGGAGTTTTTATGACCAAAAACACAGGAATTAATGATATTTTTTGTGTTCACAAATTTAAATAATATTCACACTTATGTTGTTCTCTAATATTTATGTTTAAGCAAAATATAAACATATTATTTTTTAGATATCTATCATAAAACTATTTTTCATTTATATGCAAAGTGGCGAATATTGTTTCTCTTACATCTATATTGTATTATAAGATAATTAATGACACTTTCAGTAATATTTGCAATATATTAATTAAAGCCATTTTCATAATTTAATTGTAAGTTTTGTCACATTTTTTACAATAAAGTGTTTGTATTTCATTTATAACATTTATTTGTCACAAATGGTCTTTAATATGTATTGAAAATCAAGTAAAACCCAATTGAATAACAAAATGGTTAAAATGTTTATAAAGTAAGTTTTGATAAAAGAAAGGCAATCAAATAATTAGAACAAAGATTTATTTACTATTTATAAATTAAATTGCAAAGATTCAAAACTACTAATCTTCATTCAAAGGTATATGTGCTCCAGTAAGTTATAACTTATAAGTTTAAATTATGTAAGTTTTTGTCTTTTATCGTAAGTTACAATTTATAATTACCATATATTTATAATTATGTTATAACTTTTTGCAAAATTCCTAGAAATAGATAATAAGTAATAGCAAATTACAATACTAATACGTATTATAAATGTACAGTATCAATGTTTTGCTTTGTAATAGTTATACATTAAACATAATACATTAACTAACGAGCAAGATTTTCTAATATTAATTCATTATTATGTCAATTAATGCATAAATTAAACAAATTCTGTTATCCAAGCTTTTATTGTTAATACATTAAAAACACATTAAATGAATAATTTCTTCAAAAAATAGTTTATATTTTAATGAAACCAAAAATTTAATTATATTTATCACAAAACATACATTGAATGCATAACTAACTTATATTTAGTTATCATTAATAAGAGATTTGAGAATTAATTAATAAAAGTCAAGAAACAGTGAAATATTAGAGTGTATTTTTGCCACAAAAAATATATACCAAAAATTAATGTGAAATGAATAGTAAATAATGGAAAGGAATTGTTGTCAGTTTTTCTCTATATTATCGCATGGCTTAATGCAAGCATTATTTTCGATGTCATCTCTCAAAAACTCTTTTTGTTAGCAAAATGTATACTTTTTAATAATTATAAAAGTTTGTCAAAAAATGAAAGATTACTGTAAAGTCTGCTACGATTTGCGCTCATTTTGTAATATATTGTCATTTTGTATTTTGAACAAACATTGAGTGCAAAAATGTCTTTCCTGTTCACAAGATGTGCTCTACAGTGAAAAAACTCAGTAAAAACCAAACAATTTTGCAAATCGTTTTAAATAAAAGTCAAACTCATTTCGATTCTGTTATCATATTTGATAGTCTACTTCACACTGAATAATACATTAATATTATGTATTTGTATACCTATTCAGGAAATTAAGCTAAAAATAATCGGAAATAAACAAAATTCATAAAATTAACACAATTTTTAGTGAATTCATTCATATTGAGTGAAACAAAGAAATACAACGATCGATACATTCGTTTGACTAATAGTTATGAATGAATATAATATTTCGTCAAATCCTTAATGTATTTGAAGAAATTCATCGTTAAGTGATTAGTGTATTGCTTGTGATCTTTTAATCATTAATGGGTCCAAATGTGTACATATATTACATTGCATTTTATCTATTGATTGTTACGGTCTCTCCTCAAGTGATGCATAAATATTTGATGCATTTTGTGTGAGCTCTGTATGAATGTATGAATATTTACAAATGGATATCAGCTATACATTGCCTAATGAATAAAAATGTATATTTTATGTATCCAGACATACATAAAGTGCATATATTCCGTGTTTTCTCATCTATTAATGCATTGAAATATGTGTTGAGTCCTAAAAATAGTAAATTTAGATGTGTTTTGGATTTTCAGTTTAATATTTCATAAAAACAAAATTATTAAGTTTACTTTTTAAAGCTATAATGTATTCATTTAAATATTGATTTGCCAACGAATTTGTGATAAATTAATTATTGCTAATTATGAGCAACTTTTGCAACAATTTTTATGTATTTCATGTCATTTACATTTGTTATAGAATTTGCATAATTTATAAAAATTGAGTTTTAAATTCAATTTAAATTTATAATTGAAATAAGTTATTCAAATCAATGATTAAAATATTATTACTTTATTGAAAAGCGGAAAGTTGTGTTGCATTTTAATTGATTTATTTTTAGTAACACATTTAAAAAATACGTCAAATTATGTAAAATTTGTTTTCTAAAATATTAATGATTAGTGTTATTACTGGTATTTTTATTATTACCAATTTGTATTTTCATTTATTACAAATCATTACACAATATATAATAATAAGTTTATTGATAGGTTTTTCTGAGATTTAAATAATTGCTAAATGAATATAAAGTTTTACATTTCTATAATTAGCACTCGAGAGCAAGACTTGTATTATTAATTAGTCTTTTATTACAATTTATTACATAATAATTTCAAAATTTAGTTTTGCAACAATTAATGATTCATTTCTATTTTAAATATATTAAAATTTAATCACATATAAAATATAATAAATAACTTTTTATTATTAAGCCTATTATGCATTGAAATTAAAATATTTATCTAAATTCAGTAAAATTGATAAATTTAATAAAATTGAAATACCGTAATATTTAAACAACTATTACATTCATCGAATGCAATGACTGTAATGACTGCAATAAGTGTGAAAAACCAATAGTTGTGTATTTAGTTTAAACTTAATTACATGTATTTTATTTATTTAACTCTTGTGTTCGTAAATAATTAATATGCCCTAAAAGAGAGAAATAATTGTTAAAGAAATACATTGAAGTAAATTGTTTAGTGTTGAGTGTTTGGACTGTAATACTTATGAGAGGGATATTTATATAAAATGCTTGAAGTAATGCTAATTATGTATTATAAGCGTCCATAAGATGTCTAAATTGGAGTCTCAATGTTTGGTTCAAATATTTTGATCGCATACTTAAGCACTAAATTCTTTGCCCACTAATGACAACCCATTTCACGGCACTCTTTGCCTCCAAAACGAGTTTTTATACTATTTTTCTCTCGAACTTTAGGCACAAGAAGTTTGACAACAGTATTGAGCCATCAATTTGTTGTCAATGAGTTAATACTCCTTTCCTTTTCGTTTCGTTTACGTTTCGAACTCTCTCTCTCTCTCTCTCTCTCTCTCTCTCTC